AACATGGTATTGGCAGAGAAACAGACTGTATATCAATGGAACAGAATAAAGAGTCCAGCTATAAGACCACATGTATATGGACAGATAATTTTTGTCATAGGAGCCAGAAACACAATGGAGTAAAGATAGTCTCTTCAATAAATGGTGCTGGGAAAATTGGAAAGCCACATGCAAAGGAATGAAACTAGATTACAATTTGTCCTCATGTACAAAAATCAACTCAAAATGAATCAGAGACCTAAATATAAGATCTGAAACAAGAAGTTACATAGAAGAAAATATAGGTACCAAACTTATGGACCTTGGTCATAGAGAACATTTAATGAACTTGACCCCAAAGGCAAAGGAACTAAAGGCAAAAATAAATGAATGGGACTAGATCAAACTAAAAAGCTTCTGCACAGCAAAAGAAACTGACAACAAAACAGAGGCAGCCAATCAGATGGGAGATGATATTTGCAAACAGTAGTTCCAGCAAAGCTTTAATATACAAAATATACAAAAGCTTTCTTAGAACCTTTGCAATCCATCTTCTCTCCAATCCTGCCCCAGTGTAGCCGCATGATCTGATTTCTGTCACTGTAAACTGTTTTACATTTTCTGTAACTTTATATTAATACTAGAGGCCTGACCTGTGGGGATCGGGCCAGAACCGGCTCTTCGGCATCTTCTGAGAGGTCCTGGATTACCAGAGGGCGGTTTTCGGGTGACGCACCCCGGAATCGGGCTCCCTCCTCTCTGGTTCCAGGTGCATCACTCGAGAACCGCAGCTGCCAAGTCACCACAGCTTGGCAGCTCCTGTGTTGAATGTCTGCTCCCTGGTGGTCGTTGCGCGTCATAGCTACCAGTCAGATGGTCAGACGGGTGCTTAGGCTTTTATATATATGAACTAGAGGACCGGTTCACAAAAATTTGTGCACTCGGGGGGGGGGGGGGGGAGGAAGTCCCTCAGCCCGGCCTGTGCCATCTCGCAGTCTGGGACCCCTCGGGAGATAACGACCTGCTGGCTTAGGCCTGCTCCCGGGTGGCAGAGGGCAGGCCCAATCCCTAGGTGCAACCCTGGTTGGGCTCAGAGCAGGGCCGATTGGGGAGTTGGGGCACCACCCCCTGTCATGCACAGAGCAGGGCAGATTGGGAGGTTGCGATGCCACCCTCAGTCACGCTCAGGGTAGGGCCGATTGGGGGGTGGGGGCACCTCCCCCTATCACACTCAAGGCAGGGTCGATGGGGAGGTTGCAGTGCCACCCCCTGTCACGCACAGAGCAGGGCCAATCAGGGGGTTGGGGCACTGCCCCCTGTCACGCACAGAGCAAGGCCAATCGGGGTTGGGGCGCTGCCCCCTGTCACGCACAGAGCAGGACAAATCGGGGTTGGGGCACCGCCCTCTATCACCCACAGAGCAGGGCCGATCAGGGGGTTGGGGCACCGCCACTCTCACACTCAGGGCAGGGCCGATGGGGAGTTTATGGCTCTACCCCGTCACACACAGAGCAGGGCTCGTGGGTGGGTTTGGGGCGCTGCACCCTGTCACACACAGAGCAGGGCCGATCAGGGGGTTGGGGCGCCGCACCCTGTCACACACACAGCTGCAAGGCGATCAGGGAGTTGGGGAGGTCTTCCCTATCAGGCACAGAGCAGGGCTGATCAGGAGGTTGGGGCGCCTTCCCCTGTCACGAACAGAGCAGGGCGGATAGGGAGGTTGTGGCCCCGCCCCCTGTCACATACAGAGCCGCAAGGCGATCAGGGGGTTTGGGCGCTGCCCCCTGTCATACTGATCCCGGTGCCGGGAGGCCTTGCGGTTCCGCTGATCCCGGTTCTGGGAGGCATATTACCCTTTTACTATATAGGATAGAGGCCTGGTGCATGGGTGGGGGCCGGCTGGTTTGCCCTGAAGGGTGTCCTGGATCAGGGTGGGGGTCCCCACTGGGGTGCCTGGCCAGCCTGGGTGAGGGGATGATGGCTGTTTGCAGCTGGTCACACCCCCTTCAGGGTGGGGGTCCCCACTGGGGTGCCTGGCCAGTCTGGGTGAGGGGCTGAGGACTATTTTCAGGCTGGCGGGTGACTGAAGCTCCCAACAGCTCCTTTTTTTTATTTTTATTTTTTATTCTGGGCCAGCTTTAGCTCTGAGGCTTGGCTCCAGCTCTTAGGCCTCGGCTGCTGAAAGCAGGTATCTGGTTTGTTTGGGTTCTATAATCGAAACACTGTATCAACTCCAGCTCTGAGATCCTGGCGGGCTGAAAGGAGGTTTCTGGGGTTTTGTTTAGCTTGTTTGTTTGTTTAATTTATTACAGTGTTTCAAACTGCAAGCTCAGAGGCCGGCAAGGCAGGCAGGGAACGTTGGAGTCCTCCGTCGCTGAAGCAAGCAAGCCTCATGTTAGTTTCAAGCTGCCTGGCTGCCGGCCGCCATCTTGGCTCTCAGTTAATTTGCATATCTCGCTGATTAGCCAATGGGAAGGGTAGCGGATGTATGCTAATTACCATGTTTCTCTTTTATTAGATAGGACTAGAGGCCTGGTGCACAAAAATTTGTGCACTCAGGTGGGAGGGGGGGTCCCTCAGCCCGGCCTGTGCCCTCTCGCAGTCTGGGACCACTTGGGAGATAACGACCTGCTGGCTTAGGCCTGCTCCGGGTGGCAGAGCACAGGCCCAATCCCTAGGTGCAGCCCCTGGTCGGGCTCAGAGCAGGGCCGACTGGGGAGTTGGGGCGCTGCCCCCTGTCATACACAGAGCAGGGCGATCGGGAGGTTGTGATTCCACCCTCAGTCATGCTCAGGGTAGGGCCGATTGGGGGGTTGGGGCACCATCCCCTGTCACACTCAAGGCAGGGTCGATGGGGAGGTTGCAGTGCTACCCCCTGTCATGCAGAGAGCAGGGCCAATCAGGGGGTTGGGGCATTTCCCCCTGTCACTCACAGAGCAGGGCCCATCACGGGGTTGGGGCACCGCCCTCTATCACCCACAGAGCAGGGCCGATCAGGGGCTTGGGGTGCCGCCACTCTCACACTCAGGGCAGGGCCGATGGGGAGGTTATGGCTCTACCCTGTCACACACAGAGCAGGGCCCTTGGGGGGGGGGTGTTGGGGCGCCGCACCCTGTCACACACAGAGCAGGGCCGATCAGGGGGTTGGGGCTCCGCACCCTGTCACACACAGAGCCGCAGGGCGATCAGGGGGTTTCGGCGCTGCCCCCTGTCACGCTGATCCTGGTGCCGGGAGGCCTCGCGGCTCCGCTGATCCCGGTGCTGGGAGGTATATTACCCTTTTACTATATAGGATAGAGGCCTGGTGCATGGGTGGGTGCCGGCGGGTTTGCCCTGAAGGGTGTCCTGGATCAGGGTGGGGGTCCCCACTGGGGTGCCTGACAAGCCTGGGTGAGGAGCTGAGGGCTGTTTTCAGGCTGGGGGTGACTGAAGCTCCCAACCGCTCCTTTTTTTCTTATTTTTTTTTTTATTCTGGGCCAGCTTTAGTTTGAGGCTTGGCTCCAGCTCTTAGGCCTCCGCTGCTGAAAGTAGGTTTCTGGCCTTTGCTTACAATGTTGCGATCCTGCTGGCTGAAGCCCGGCTGGTTTCTGGGGTTTTGTTTAGCTTCTATGTTTGTTACATAGTTGCTTGCAGCTCAGAGGCCTGCAGGGGCAGGCGGGGAACGTTGGAGTCCTCTGTCACTGAAGCAAGCAAGCCTCATGTTAGTTTCAAGCTGCCTGGCTGCTGGCCGCCATCTTGGCTGACAGTTAATTTGCATATTGCCCTGATTAGCCAGTGGGAAGGGTAGCGGTCATACGCCAATTACCATGTTTCTCTTTTATTAGATAGGATGCTCATATGGTATGCATTATTTTTGGTTTTGTTGAATTCATAATAATTTTGAGATCTATCTTTGTACATATTAGTGATTCATTTCTTTTTATTGCTGTGTAGAATTCCATTGTATGGACAAACCACATTTTAAAAATTCATTTACCTATTGATGGACATTTAGATAATTTCCAGTTTTTGACTACGTAAATCAAACTGTTAACCTTTGTGCATAAGTGTTTGTACAGGCATATGGTTTTAAGTTGGGTAAATACTTGAGAGTGTATATTTAACTTTTTAAGAAACTGCCAAATAGTTTCAAAGTGGATGTGTCAACTTATATTCCCCACCCAAAGGTATGACAGATCATTTTTTTTTTTTTTTCACATCTTCACCATTACTTGCTATTATCTGTCTCTCAACCTTTAGCCACTTAAATTAGTGTTTGGTGATATCTTGTTGTGTTTCTTTTGCAATAGAGATGTTGAACTCTTTTTTTTCTTTTTGTGCTTACTGGCCTTTTGTATGTTTTGTGAAATGTCTGTTCAGATCTTTGCTTTTATTTTTATTTTGGTTTGTTTGTTAAGTTATTATTGTATTGTTAGCATTCTTTATATATTCCAGTTACAAGATTTTATCTGATATATATGTTGCGAATATTTTATCTCTGTCTGTTGCTTGACATTTCATTTTCTTAACTATATCCTTTGAAGAATAGACTTTTAAATTTTGACGAAATACAATTTGTTGATTATTTTCATAATTTATAGTTTTTGTGTACTAAGAATCTGTTGCCTATAACATGGTAAGAGATTTTTCTCATATATTTTCTTCTATGTTTTGCACTTTAGGTTTTATTTTTAAGTTTGTGATTCAACTTGAGTTAATTTTTGTGTATGGTGTGAGTTAGAGTTGAGGCTATTTTCTTTTTTCCTAAATGGATATCTCATTGTTCCACCCCTTATTGAAAAGACATTTATTTCCTCATTGAATTGACTTATTAATTACCAGCTTCTTAAATTTACATTTAGAGTTTTATTGCTACCTTAAGTTCAGATATTTTTTGTTGTTACTTGAAGTGAATGAGATGATTAAATTTGCATTGTTCTTGCTAGATCATAGGAAAGTGGTGATAAATTTCTCCTGATAATAAGAATTAGATTTTTAACTGACTTATTGTTCTCCAGTTCAATCTGATCTTTTATTTTTAGGTGTTATACATAATATTGCATTACTTCGAGAGGTAATAATCAACTCACGCTTTATAAAAGGAGACATCAACACTAAATTTCTTTCTGATGTATATCCTGATGGCTTTAAAGGTTTGTATGCATTGAAGTATTTTAATATTAAAGTTATTATTTTTTACTTATTGTAATGTATACTTTTTTCTATTTTGAAATTAAGGCCTTTGGCCTATATTATACTTGATTTATTAACATACTTAGAATATCCTAGACTATTGACAGGATGATTTTGAGTATTCATGAGTAATTCACAAATGTGTAATCTATAATTTCGCTGAATTAAACTATGTGGAATGTGCACTAGTCTAGTTTTGAAGCAAACATATAGCTAGAGAATTAGCTTACCTGATTTTCTCATTTCTGCAAGTCAGAAGAGTTCTGCAGGAACTGTTCTTTAATAATTAAACACTATATGTGTATGAAAATTAGCGCTGAAAATTTCAGAATACCAGTTGCTGTTCCTGATAATAAAAATGAAGATGTCTACGAAGATGATGGTTTGTATTCTGAAAAAATTGGTTTTGAGTAAAATAATGAGTGGAATGTGAAATTTAGTACTGCAAAGTTATCAGTGAGTGTTTCCAAGTAGCAGGAAAATTGCTCATCAAGTTAGAGACAGAGAAAACCATTTAGTGAGCATTGAAAACATAGTTAAATGATATTAAGAAAGGATATGACTTACATGAGACTTAATAGAAATGTTATTCATGTGAAAGCAAGAAGACTCTACATGTATTTCTAATGAACTTAGGGATATATGAAAATTAGATATTCTCTCACAAATATCGTGTTTTTTATATCCATTTAAAGTCTTTTACTAGATAAAATTTCTCAGTCATTTTAGAAAATGTATTTAGATTGAGGTCAACTTCATGTAGTTGAACTATTGAATACGTTTACAAAGCAATTTCTTACCTCAGAATTTACAGTACAGTATTTTCGTAAGACTAAAAGGAGCTTATTGTTTTGATTGTTCTCTCCAAAACTTTAATGCTACAGGGTTTTATCATTAGTACCAAGAGAAATGGGGAATGTTTTTTATTTGGGAACTGAAATAAGACTAATGAATCATCAGTCGTTTTCCTGAACTTTTAAATTTTTGTAAATATAAAATACAATCTTAATATATTACAGTTTTATATTTGCATGATTATTTCATGCTATCATGAAGTTAGGAACCACTTATGTTATTGCTTTTTATTGTATCCCTAGCAACTACACAAATTCTAGGTTCAATCAGGATTTTCAGATGCTTTTGTGTCTGCCTGGTGAATGCATCTGTGGAGGTGATATGACATGAAACAGTAGGCAGAAGAAACAGCAGGACAGTACTTCAGGAAACCTTTCAAACAGGCATATTGTATGTGTGTATGGGTTCTTATAAATGCACACATTTACATATGTGTCTCTATATATATGCATGTATGACATAGAGAAGAAAATGGGGAATTAAAATTTCTAATTGGAAGTTTACTCTGTGCTGTACATGTAACAGTAATGTTCCAAATTCTTAAGGGAACTCAGATATTTACCTAGAACCTAATATTAAAATTTTTTGTGATAAACTTAATATATTACATTGTTTTTTTGGTAGGAAATTATCAGCATTGTCACAATAATTGTGTTTATTATGCTTATGCAGAATTTTTAAATTCTTATAAGTCATTAGAATGGCCTTTAGCAATTTTTAACCTCAGCTTTCATTTTACATGTGAGGAAGCCAAAGCACAGAGAGATTAGGGCTAAAAAACCAGTAATATGATAAAACCAGAAATTGAATTTAGAGCTTTCAACTTTTCTTTTAGTACTCATTCAACTTTGGAAGGATTCAAAGTCATAAATCACAGAAGTTTCAGAGTATGCTGTATGTTGTCATATTGCCTGTAAGGACTTTGAAGTACATACCTATATTTACCATTCTTCATGTCTACCTCTTATTTTCTCATGTGATTTTCATGTCAGTTCTTTCTTCTCTGAATGGCTACTATCTCTTGTTCTTTATCTTCAGATTACTCTGTTCCCCCCCGCTCCACCCCACCCCCATTTTTCTCTAGAGCAGGTCTTAAGTGTATTAAACTGTGTCATTTTGATTGTTTGATATATGTGCCTGAAAGAGCAGCAGGAAGTGGCAACTGAAGTTAATCCAGGATCTTCTCCATATGTTTGAGGCAGGGTCACTTTGCCCCTTTGGGATTACCCATCTGCTTTCCATCTGTCCAGCTATCATAGGCCTATGCATAGGCAAGTGCCTATTTTTATAACTGCATAGAAATTTTTTATGATAGGTGTTTACTATCCCAAGTTTATTTGTAGACTAGGACAGTGTTCCTAAAGGTTCCTAGATTGAACTTTGAAATGATTGTAAGTTCTAAAAATAGGATACACAAGAATTTGTTCTTCATGTCAACTTATTTTATTCTATTGTTGCAAAGCTATTTTCCTTTGATTAAAAAAATAAATGGAAATGGGGATGAAGGTATTTTGATTCTGAAATAAAGAAAAAATGAGAAAGTATTTTAAGACCTATAATTTCTGTTGTCCTGTAGTGAACATTTTGGATTTATTTCTCGGCTGCATTACTACACTGAAATCGCCAGCCTCATCAAAAGAAATGATCAAAATCACCTGAAAAGTTGCAAAATTTTTATAGACATTTGATTCAATATAAGAAAAATACCTTTAATTATACTTCTCCTCCCCCCGGCCCCCAACTGAATTTAGTCAAGGATTTCTTTACCTTTAAGAGTGGTACTATGATATATGGACTGAAGTGTGGCCTTTAAAGATCCAGTCATTAAAATTATTTCAACAAATAATAGATGTAAGCTCTAGAAGAAATTCAAAGACAAATAATACATTTTTCGTGCTCTTGAGCTTATATCACAAGAGAAATAAACAATAAACATGTAAAGAACTAATTACAGGATAGACTAAAATAAGTGCTAAGTAAAGATATAAGCAAAGTATCTTAGTAGAGGCAAAAGAAACCAATTCTGATTTACGGAATCAAAGCTGGCTTCAAGGACAAGGTAGCATTTAGACTGTTGAAACACCTTTCCAAGGACTCTATTCCATAGGCTCCAGGGCTGCCAAACGCCTTGAGAGAACTACTGTGCACATCTCCTAATCCATCCTTTTTGATGTAATGTTGATAGTTTGAAATTACCCCAGGAGAGAGCATTTACAATGAGGATGCTGCATGCTGGGGCTTTCCCCGCCCTTCAGTTTCATGAAGCTCCTCCCCATAGAAAATTGTGCTGCAGATCTGGAAAGTATCTGCGTTCTAATGGTGAATACTTTTAGTCATTGCTATTTTAAATGATTTTTTAAACATAATGTTTGAATTGCCTCATTTCTTTCAAATGAATTTAAATAACTATCCGAGTGTTTTTTCTTTTATGAATTTTACAAGTAGCATCTTGTTGATGATTCAGCATTCAAATTGCCTACACTGTACCATTTAATACTCTACTATCTGTGTATAGTACTGTGGCAAATAATAGTGTTAGAAATTGTGGTGAAATGAAACTTGGAAGGGACATTTTAACCTGCAGACCCTGGAATATAGAATCCTGCCTTGACTCCCACACTTTTTGAGGAATTGTGCAAATAGAGCAGATTTCCCTGCTGCACAAGACTCAGCCAGACCAGGGAGCCTTCCTAAGCCTTGTTAGGCTAGACCACTGTCCCCAGGTCCACTCTATTATGCTAGGACCTGAAGAGGGGAAGGAGAGAGATTGGTGGGCTGGTTGGTTGGGATTCAAACCCTGACTGCATGCAAGAGGATCACACCTTTATTTCCGTTAATCCTTCACACTGCAAACATGCCCTACCCAGTGTCCTGACCAGCCACACTCCTTTTCTACTTTCCTTTATCCTCTACTTAGACGTTAAATTTGGGATGAGGAGTGATAAGGAGAAGCAGATGTGAAGAGCCTTAAGTATGGTTTTCCTAGAGATCTGAGTATGGTTTTTTATTTGTAATTGTTTTGTTCTGTACCTGCTTAATATTCCTTTTTTCTTTCTTTTAGAAATTAGACTATAAACTTCTAGTTAGCAGGATTTTTTGTCTCATTTGAATAATATTGCTCCCTCCCATTTCCCCTGCAGGCTCCAATGTCTGGAATAATACTAGCTCCATAAGAGATGCTGGATAGTATACTTGTTTGAATGATTCATAATTCTAAAAGATAGAAGCATAGATGTTGACATTATGTATTTGATTGATTGCTTGATTGATTTCCCTCAGGACACAAGTTAACAGAGAGTGAGAGAAACCAGTTATTGGCAATAGCATCATCATTGTTTGTGGCATCCCAATTAAGAGCACAACATTTTCAAGAACCTGAAAATTCAAGGTACGTTAGATCATTTAAAACAGAAGACATGAACAGAAAAATATTAATTATCTAAAAGACAGGAAATTACTAATAAAAGATCTAACTAATCTCAATTCTAGACGTTCTTATGAGTGTTTGAAGTATAATAAAGTTATAGTGCTTAAAAATTGCTTCAGTTCAGTTCAAATGAATTTTTTAAATTCAAAAAGAAAAATGATGGTTGCCCCTTTAATTTGGACTTTATTAGAGGTAAGAAAATACTCTGAAAAGTTACAGGAAGACTGTTCAAGTAATTTGTATTTATTATTTCTGTTTTATTACTTTGTTAATCTTTTCTGTTTGTTTTGTTAATCCTCACCCAAAGATATTTTTCCATTGATTTTTAGAGCAAGTGGAAGGGAGGGGTAGAGACACAGAGAGAGAAACATTGATGTGAGAGAGACACATCGATTGGTTGCCTCCTGCACTCACGGGATCAAATCTGCAACCCAGGTATATACCCTTGACCAGGTGAGAGCTGACGCTCTATCCACTGAGTCAAACTGGCTAAGGCATCTTTGTTAATCTTGATAAAAGTTTTGAGAAGTGTTATAGTAATAAAATTTAGGATAAATCTTAGTAATTTCAAAAATATAAATATGAGCCCAGCCAGTGTTCTCAGTGGTTCAGCTCAACCTATGAACCAGGAGGTCACGGTTCAATTCCTGGTCAGGGCACATGCCCGGATTGCTGGCTTCATCCCCAGTATGGGGTGTGCAGGAGGCAGCCGATCAATGATTCTCTCTCATCGTTGATGTTTCTATCTCTCTCTTTGCCCTTCAGAAGACACCACCAAGAAAATTATAAAACAAGATAGCAAATGGCAGAATGTATTCAGTTATCTAATAAAGGACTTGACTATATAATATGTAAATAATTGTTACGATTCAATGGTAAGCCAAACAACCCAATTAAAAGATTTTGGCCTAGATTCTTTATTAAAGAATTTATATCAATGGCAAGTAAGTTCATGAAAAGATGTCCAACATCATCAATCATTAGATGAATCCCAGTTAGAACCCCAATACTATACTACCACACACCATTGGAATAATTTACATTAAGTGAGTGGTTAAATAAATGTATAACCATGCAATAGAATACTGGTTAACAATAAAAAAGAATGAAGTATGTTATACATGCATCAACATACATAAATCTAAAAATAAAATCATGCTAAGAAAAAGAAATCAGCTAAAGAAGACTACATGTGATTTCATTTATTTGAAATTTCTAGGAAAGGCAAAAGTGTAAAGACAAAGATCAGTGGTTGCCTGGGTGTGGATGTTGATGTCACAGAATTACATCTGTATACAGTCAGTGCCCCAAACCATAACCCAATAGTTATTCCTATTTCACCCATCATCCCAGAATCCTCCTCCCCTGCTATTACTGATGAACTCATTACACGTTAGAAGTTCCAAAAAATTATACCAATAAAATACATAGGCTAGAGCTTAGTTATGTAGATACTTGTGCACATGTTACCTGTATACAAGCAATTATTTTATTTTTGGTTAGTTTATTTTTCTACTGAACTTATCATTTATTTAGTATGCCAGTTTATTATAAAATTGGTACCCATAACAACAGAGACCTATAACATCTAGATAAATATACTGGCTTTTTTGTTGTTGTTGTTAATCCCCACCCAAAGATATTTTTTCATATTTTTTGGGGGGGCCCAGAGTGAATGGGAGAGAAGAGAGGGATGGGGGGGGGGGGGGAGAAAGGAGAGGGAGAGAGACATCAATATGAGAAAGACACATTGATTAGTTGCCTCATGCACTCTTGGGATCAAATCTGCAACCCAGGTACGTACTCTTGAGACTGGAAATCGAACCCATGTGCAGGCCAACACTCTGATCACTGAGCCATGCCAGCCAGGGCTATATTGATCTTTTGACAAAGTATAATCTTGTGTAGATAAAGTGACTTTATTTTTGCTTGTTCACAGAAGAGGTCCCTGATAGCAAAGCTGATGTAAGGTGGTTGTATCCTCACATTTTGGCTTCAGGATCATGTTTTCATTATTGGCTTGGGAATCGAGTCTAGTGTTAGCCTCCAGGTGTGGCTACATATTGCTCTGTCATGGGTGTGCTCATGTAATGTTTATGCTTCCAAACCCAGTGGCCTCCAGCCCTTCCTTTGTGTTGCTTGTTTTGGCTGCTGATTTTATTTTCCCAATTTCTCTATGGGTTTCACTCTTTCATCATTTATGACTTGGAAAAAGACATTAATAGTACGTACCCACAGTATTTGGATAGTAAAAAGATAGCAGTGCATTTTAGGAAAAAAGGTTAATGTGAGAAACAATAGCAATTTTTCTTATGATGACTGTAAATAAATTTGGTGAGCATAATTAAGGTTTTACATAAATATATGCTGACTTACCATGGTATTATTTTTAACTATCCTGTTCTTAAACACTTTTGACAGAAATGCATCATTAAAAGTTGTGTTAAGCAATCATTTCATGTTACTTGAAGCTAAAATTATTTTGTTGGCATTGTGGTTTGGCATAATAATTTGTTTCACTAACAGTTAATGATTGCAGGAAAAAATAGTAAGGAAAACAATTTTGCCCCTTTCAGTAATCTTTTATTTAGTTTTGCTTAAAAAAGCCTATTTCCCTGAGGGCCAAATACTGCTCACAAGTCAGGATTCACTTTTCTAAGCTAGGCCCTGCCCTTGCTTTACACCTCTGCTTTACTCTAGCCAGTGGTTCTCAACCTGTGGGTCGCGACCCCTAAGACCATTGGAAAACACATATATAATTACATATTGTTTTTGTGATTAATCACTATGCTTTAATTATGTTCAATTTGTAACAATGAAATTGGGGGTCACCACAACATGAGGAACTGTATTAAAGGGTCGCGGCATTAGGAAGGTTGAGAACCACTGCGTCTAGTCCACCTCTGCCATCCCAAGCTTCTCAGGTACAGTGAGTGCCACTCTGCCCTCGGTAGGTGTCTCTGCTTCCTCCTTCCCCATTAGTATTTCTGCATCTGTTGCTTTCTTTCCTTAAGTTGTGTAACTATGCATATTGCCCTGCAGCCTTTCTTATGATTTGGCAGTTAAACTTTCTAATTCCATGATTTAATCTTCCTATTAAACTATCTGACTCGTTTATCACTTCTAGGGAGAGCCAGGGCCACTTTCCTGGTGGTAGATTGTCTGGTGGCCAAATCTCTCTTCCCTAGTAGAGGGCTGTTTTGCATTACTTTGTATGGTGTGAGAATTTGGCAGGAGTTGTGGCTCAGACTAAAGCCTTTCCTCCCTTTTAGATGTCAGTCCTGAGGGTTAAAGCCATGCTGAGGTGCATGTGGGCAGTTTATGTTTTCATCTATTTTAAGGTATTTGAAAGTAAATGTTGATGCAGGTATATAGTATATAATTAGATTTTGTTGGCTTCTTTTTACTTGTTTGCTTCCTTTTCTTCCTTTACCTTTTACACCATTCCCCAGAGGATGTATTCAAAACCCTAAACATCTTAATCATCAATATTTAACTCTTTAATCCATTTTTAATTAATTTATGTGTATGTTATGAAACGAGTTTCATTTTTGTGATTTGGAAGTTTATTTATAAAATATTTCAACCTTACCCCTCCTCCCCAAAGTAGCATTTCTTTATAATTCTAAGGATGGCAAGAAAGAAATTTTTGTCTTAGGCCCGTGGTCGGCAAACCGCGGCTCGCGAGCTACATGCGGCTCTTTGGCCCCTTGAGTGTGGCTCTTCCACAAAATACCATGTGCGGGCGCACACATACAGTGCGATTGAAACTTCGTGGCCCATGCGCAGAAGTTGGTATTTTGTAGAAGAGCCGGTATTTTGTGAAAGAGCCACACTGAAGGGGCCAAAGAGCCGCATGTGGCTCGCGAGCCGTGGTTTGCCGAGCCGCAGTTTGCTGACCACTGTTTAGGCAGTTTGAGCCATATAACAAATTACCATAGACTGGGTGGCTTAAATAACAAATGTTTACTTTTCACAGCTCTGGAGGCTGGAGTTCAAGATCAGGTGTCAGCAGGGTCAGGTTTTGGTGAGGGCTCTGTTGGAAGCTGCAAAAACCCTACTTATATCTTCACTTGGCGAAAGAGGGCAAGCTAACTCTCTGGCCTCTTAGAGGGGCACCACTCATGAGTGCTCCACCCTTGTGACCTAATTATTCCCTAAACTCCCTTTTCTAAATACTGTAACCTTGGGCATTATATTTCAACATAGGAATTTGGGAGGACACAAGCATTCAGTAACAGTGAGTGTGTGCTCTCAGAGTGCGTGAACCTCCTCTCCCACTCCATCTCTTCCCTTTCCTCCCTCTCTCACCACCCATTCTCTTCTCTCTTTCTGCTTGCCTCCCTTCCTTTACCCTCTCCTCTTCTTTTCCCTCTCTTTCCCAATTGTGTAATTTGCATGCACACACACAACACATACAAATGAGTAGATGTGTGTATGTTAAATAAATACATTCTGTGGTTCTTTTGGCTCCTTCACCTGAAATTTCACAATGGTTGATGTGTTGCAGTGGAACCAGCATTGAGATATCAAGAGTCAGGATTTTGGTCCCAGTGCCACTACCAAGTATTAAGGTGGAACAAGCCTTTGTGCAAATGTTTCAACTTCTGACTCCAGTTTCCACCTCTGAGAAATGGCACTGTTGGATTGGACAATTCCTGAAATATTTTTCAGCTCAGCTTCTATTTGAATTGCATGAGGCAGACACTTTTACTTTCTGGTTTCTACTTTAGCCTTCTATTTCTCTCTTGGTATTTGAGCAGAGGTTAAAGACTCAAGAAAAGGAACACTTCACTATGGGCTACGGTTATGCTGATGAAAATATTTCCGCCTGAAAGGTTTAAAAATGCAGCATTCACTTTGTGGAGGATTACTCTGGGTGTATGGAGTCTGTGTGTAATCACCACTTTGAGCTCATACTTTGTAGAACATATCAAGTATCTTGACTGGCTACAGAGCCT